CAATATGATGATATGTTTATTGCAAGATTTACATGATTTTCACATTTTAATATTTCTGAAACCATGTCATGATCCAAAATTCAGGTGTACTTTTAATGTGGTGATATTTTTTTCTTGTTCTTCCTTTTTTTAAAGAATCAAAAAAACTGTTATTAAATCTATACTACATCTTAGAACTGGTGACATCTTAGAACTGGTGATTCTAGTCAAGGAACTAGGTTGGTCTAAGCAGGAATTTTCCTGAGGATAAGCTGGCCATATTGCATGCAAAAAAGGAGTACTGAAAGTGGCAAAGGCACCTTGGGGCTCACCCCTGGCTACACAAGAGAGTCACTGTGGCACTTTTTCTTGGATTCTGTGTGAAGCCCAGGCATCAGTTATTTTTGCAATGCTCTTTGCAAGCCAGGGTCAAGAACCACTACTTTAGGGCACCTTGAAGGGGATGGATAAAAGGGGAGAAAGGGATGGTACTATCAGGAAAGACAAATAAAAAGTGATGGCAGAAAACCAGATGGACTTCAGAGCTCCACTCTCCTGCCCGGGACCAGACTTCATTATTATCGCCAATTTGCTAAAACTCCAGCCTTACAGCTCTTGAGTAACTTTCCTCAGCTCTCTCGGGCTCAAAGAAAATTACAACTGGAGAATTTAACTAATAATGGATCCCGACAAGAAGAAATGAAATATGCTTTCATTTACTGCAAACTTAGCACAATTTCAGAAGCAAGATGTATCTTATAAATACATTTCCTGTAACTTGTAAATACCTCATTCTCCTATGAAGTCTAGCTCCTGCCATGAATGTAAAGGTGCTTAGTATTTACCAAAGTGGATTAAATCTGCTCCCTAAAAGTGCTACTGCCTCTTTTAACAGGGAGAATAAAAATTCAAGAGAGAACAGTAAGGGAGTGCAAAGGACCTAGCCCATTCCAATGACCTTCTTTAACTAGCAATGGGAAGAGATCTATATAGGTTCAAATACATGTTGCCTAAGAAAGTTGCTACTACTGCCATCCCAACATCCCTATTTATTTGTTAAATTTTTTTTTAAGTCAAAACTGACACAATAAATTCTATAGTGTCCCCTAATTGCCTCAAGACCCAAAGTGTAGACTTCTAAAACCAGATCATGGATAAGATCCTGAAACCATGCTCTGCTAGACCCATAGGGTGTGCTTAGCCCCTGATGCTGCCGAGGAGTTGCAGTCGAGTCTGAAACCTTAGCCTATCTCTTTAGAAGCAATCATTCTCATAATTCCAGCAGAGTCAGTTTTCCTTTGTTTTACATTTATTTATTTAGAGACTTCTAAATATATGCTGGTCTGTTGAAACAGCCTCTGGGCCCAAGTACAATAAAAACATTAATTAAAACGCACGATTAGAAACACCCAGCAGCGAGCTTGGAACAACATCAAATGAGCTCTGCCATTTAAGTGTCAGTCACAGAAGATAAAGCCTGTTGGTGACCTTCAGTGTGCCCCTCTGGCTTCTGCACAGATTCCTGACCAGGGCTGAGGTGAGCTCTCCCTGCCGATGGGGGCCCACACCCAATTAGTCCATTTCTCTCCTCACTCTTTCTTTGGCACAGTCTCTTCCTGTCCGTCCTTTCCTTCTGTAATGGACTAACGAGAAATTCACAGAATCCCCAAGCTTGGCAGAGATCTGGGCACAGGAACCTTACATAACACTTGCTTTGGCAGGGCAGGACCACAAGGGCCGGGTGCCCTCCGCTGCAATGTGCCCTGCAATTTGTGGGCATTGTCACTCCTCTGAGACCGTCTACGCTTGCTTCTGGCTCTGAACACTTCTGAATCCAGAAACAGCAGCAGAATTAACATGGAATGCACAATGCAAGAATCTAAGGGAACACCAACAGGAGGATACTATAGATTCAGACCATGTAAACACTTCAGATTTGGGGAGGAACCCATCTACAAAATAGAGGCAGTAAACCTTCACTCCCTTGTGGCACAAAAAATTTCCCAAATTAAAAATTTGTTTACACAGCTAATTAGGCATGAAAATTTTGAATCTAGCACAGGCCTGTTAAGAAGTAAGATCTTGTTATATGCAGACATGTTCTGTCAAGGGCTCATATCCTGCGAAGGATGCCATCCATGGGAAATATCACTTTATTATAAGTCCTATCCTTTGCTTAAAGGCTCACAAGTAAAACAAAAGCAAAAGATCTTGGCTTCTTTCTTTTATGTATAATTTTCCCACAAGCCTCCCATCTTAGAAAAACAAGAAAAGAGATCTGAAAGAAAACAATAGCAGATCAATGCTAGGTAGGAATAGTATTTCAAAAGTGGTGGGAACGTATTATTTACTGTTCCACAGGATTCTGTATTATTCATTCCTCTTTATTTTTCTTTAATGACAAATGTGCCAATATCTTATTACACAGAGGCTACCACCAAAGTAGATAAAACTGCCTTTTATCATACATCTGGCCCAAATTATATCTCTGGAATCCCTTTTCCATCAGCCATGGTATTTTCTACAATTTTGCGATTTTGTTGAATTGGCTGTGTCTTGTGTGCCGCCTGCTACTATGTTCTGAAGTGCCAGGCTGGTACCTAAGAGGAAAAATAACATTTTTCTTCACTCTTAACCCACATTCTGACTTCTCATGCTGAATTCAATCCCCAGCTAATTAGTTCAAGAGCAGGCAACTTTAACCAAAAGTCGGTATTACTTTCCTGTTTCTGAGAGCTGGGCTTTCCCCAAATGTAGGTCTCCTGTTACCCTTTGCATTTTAAATAAGCCATTTTGGAGCATGGCTCTTGTTTTTTCTTTAATATATGCGCCCCTTGGGGCTGCGCTGCAGCTTGGGATGGCTCTCTGCCGGCAGTCAGGGCCACAGGACGTCTGCAAGACCCGACTTTGTCCCACACTTGGCGTCCATTGTGGGGTCCCAGAGGAATAGGGAGGTCGCAAGTCAATCTTCTCAAAAATGCGAGGTCCCCCGTCCTCCAACATAGAGTCCTGAATCTCACTTCGGTCCCTCCATTTTGTTTTGTTTTGAACATGCAGTATTCCCTTTACTGATACTTCATCAAATAAAGTATTCCACAGAAGTCAATTTTTCAGATAACTGAAGACTTGTTAACGTTAAGAGTTTGATAGAAATTCTTTCTAAAATGTTAAATGGGTACCTTGGATCTCCAACAAGGTGCCCTAAATGTATTCAACTTTTTCTGGATGATTTAGGGTCATCTTTAAACCATAACTTATCACATAGGGACGTAAAACAATAACAAATGCATAGAATGATCTGCCCTTACATTAAACAGCCCCAGGCCACTGTGATGTTTTTGTTACTTGGGCAAATTTTTGTACGTTCTGTTTTTATCTCCTCCCATATTATCAAACTATCAGTGGTCACTTAGCACTGACGTTCATATGTCAGTCTCTAGAAGAAAACTTCTAGTTTATTGTCTTCAGTTTACAGATGGCTAGAAACTCAAATACACAAGTTTGTTGTAGCAATATCTACCTTAAAGTAAATCAGTTCTACGTGGTATTCTGAGGCTCTGCCTTTTGCTCTAAATGCATAAGCATCAGTGCATGAATGTGTGGTATCTATTCTCATTGCACAAAGGCCTGTAGGACTTAATTCCAGCTCTTTATCTGTATCCCACGGAAGAGAGATTGCCAGATACTTGTCCTCGAGTATTGCACAGTCAAATTCAATAGTCCACAATCAATTTGCTCCCTCTCAGATTCTTCTCTTTCCTTCTTGCTCTTGTCTTCTCTTTGTCCCTCTGATTCCTGCTTTGAGCCATTTCAATAAGCATTAAATCATCCACTAAAAGGAAAGAAATCATTAAGAAGGGAGCAAAACATTTTCATGTATACAAATTGAACTTTGGGTTTGTTTGGTTTGGTTTGCTTTGGTTTGGTTCTCGGTGAGGGGGAACGATGAAAGTACATTACAATTTGAGATTATTTAAATATTTTACTTTTTAAATTTGCCCCTCATCAAAATAGAAGCATTAAGGTACCTGCTACTCTTATATGTGGCAGTCTCCCCTGATTATAAAATCTTAACAACTGTTGGCAATCCCTGTTCAAGATGATCCAGGCCAAGTTGACCTGGAATGTCAAAAGAGCCCTCCAAAAAGGTAAAACTATTATTCAACACTGTACTATATGAAGTTGGCACTGGTTCAGGATAGGGTGATCAGCTCATCTTGGTCTGCTGAGGACCATTCCAATTTGAAACTGAAAGTCCCAAATCCAGGGAAACTTCTCAGTCCTAGGCAAATCAAGACGATTGGTCACTCTACTACACGGTGATTTCTTAAAGATCTCTCATGTTTCCCTCCAAATAGAACATTTCATCTTCAAACCATTTCTAAGAATTCAAAGACACTTGCTTTTTTTTTTTTCTTTCTGCCAAGTTTGTCTAGCTAACTCTTTCATGTAACATGCCTAGCATTGATCTCCTCTTTTCTTATTGCTACAAACTTGGACCATTATCCCCTGCTCCTGGGCTACTTCCATGAAGTCTTCCTGTCTTCACTCCAACATGCATGCCACTCTCAGATTAATCTTTTTAAAACGCTATTTTGCACAAGATTCAGTTGAAGTCCCAGCTCCTCCGGGAAGTCTGGCATCTTCTCAGGCAGGAGGGGAAAGAGTGGCCAGGGAGGAAGAAAGGAGTGGCAGGAGATATTAGCTGCTCAGCACTGGTGGGAGTGCTGTGGGGCCAGTGGAGGGGCTGTCACCTCCCAGAAGCTGCCAAGGAACAAAATCAAGACAGGATGCAGAGGGGAGAGACTGGCAGAGCACTAAGGTCAGTAATACAGAAAAGGGATCTGAGTCAATCACCAAGCCAAAGAGGTCTAGCCACAGAAAAAAAACACTCAGTGTCAATGTGGACATCCAAGAGCCAGGGTGTGCGGCCCAGCAGAGGAGAAGCAGCATACCAAGCAAATCCACAGGACGGCCCACTTTGCCCCACAGCTTGTTCAAGGCAGTGCTGGCTGCAGGACAAGGGAAAGCAACGACAGTAGCAGGAACTGCCTGTACCATCTTCTCTGCAGTGAGCAGGTACTAATTTGGAAAGCTGTTTATATTTTAATGTATGCATCCCTTAAATGCAAAGACAGCATCTTAGAATGCTCTGTATTCTCCATACCTAGCATAATATGTAGTCAATAAATATTTGATTTGAATGATAATAAAATGTGCTCCCATATTCTAGTGGCCATGTATGTAGAAAACCACTCATGAGAAGGCTACAGCGACTCCACTTTGTTCAGGAAGTCTGGAAGCCATCTGCCTGGTTGGGGTTTAAGATATACTAATCAGCAAGTATAGAGTGGGCCCAAATCCTCCCATTTCTCTTTTTAAAACTTCAGAGCAAACATCAACTCTCCTACTTCCTTTTGTATCTTAGTTCAAGCCGCAAGCACAAGAAGAAAAATATTAACAAAACAAACTACCTTTCATCAAGACTGCAAACCAAGCCCCAGACCCCAAAATAGCCTTATGTTTTCATGCTATAGTGTTTATTAGTACTTGAAGTTCAACCAAAGGGAATGAAAAATTGATCTACTTGTTCAGTTCCTCAACTTGAGAGTTTCCAGCACAGATGCTAAATCACTTCTTGAGCATGTGTTGTGATGTATTCATGCTGAGAATCCCTTTAAAATGGTCCAGTCTTCAAAAGACTTTGCTAAGAATTTATTTTCCACTCAATAACATTTCTTTAAAAGATCCAAGTTAAAATCAAGGCCTATTATGCTAAGCTTTATGAATGCAATTACCTTTCTTTATTGACTGATTTATGAAGTCCCTGGAGTAAACAGGAAAAAAAAAGTGATAGTTAAGATTTACAAATAATGTACTATTGGAAATAGCCTCAAGTGAGAGCCTTGTTTTAAATGCCAAAGTAAACACCTGCAGCTATCAAAGGGGGCTACTGTATTTTGTTTTCCATCCAAAAAATTTTTCAGGTGTACTTTTGGAAAGTCTCTAGAGAAAACAAAAAAGGAGGGCCTCAAAATAAATCTCTGATAGGAATTTACATGACATGCATAATGTTAAAAATATTCACCTGAAGAAGGTGACTACCCTAAACTTTGTAAACCATCTAAACCAGGATTTCTCAATCTCAGCACTATTGACATTTTAGACGGGATAATTCCTTATGTGAGGGAGAAGCTGTCGTGTACATTGTAGGGATACAGCAGCATCCCTGATCTCCTCCCACTGGATGTTGATAATAGCTTGCCCCCTCCCACTGGTACCAGTTGTGACAATCAAAAATGTCTCCAGATGCTGCCAAATGTCCCCTGTAAGGCAAAAATCACCCCCACTGAGCTCCACTAATTAAACTAGAGAAACTTTTCCTAAAATGTGAAGGATCTTAAAACATCAGATTTGGAAGGGCACAGCAAAGAGGTCAGTGATGCCGCTGAAAAGATGCACTAACAAGACAATCAGCTTTGACAGACAATAGAAACAATGCACAGGAATAAATGGAACCATGAGATCTAACCTGTAAGAATAATGGTATACTGAAGAAAACCATAAAAGCCAGCATCAGTAGAATATGTGAAAAAGTATTTTTCTTAATCTTGTATCTAGGAAACAAAAAATCACATCAGTCTGGATGAAAAAAGTCAGTTTTGCAGAAATATTCTGCAAAAAATGACAACTCCTCCTTCCTCTCCAAAAAAGTGATTGCAATGTGTTGTGTTTATCATTTGAAGAAAAAGATTTTACAAATTTCCAAGAAGTCAATACCAACTTGGAAAGTGGTCAATATTTTTATGTATGCATCCTTGAATATGAAAACTAGCTTAAAACTTTCTGTGTCCTCCACACTTACCACTATAAGTATCCAGTAAATATTTTATTTAAACGATAATGAAAAGTGCCTTCATATTCTGAGAGGTTTTAAACAAGACATTTCAAAGTGTGGGAATCTGAATGCTTTTGAACCCCTCACCTGTAAATAAGAAAAGCTATATGGAAAACCCCAGACAAAGCTCAGCAGTAATATTAGAGTGGGAAAAGGAATTGTCAGGGAGTTTATAAAGTTCTGAGTTAAATCCCAGCTTTATTGGTCCTATATATGTGACATTTGTTCTGTTTACTCCTCCATGGAACAAGAACAATAATCCTACCTCAAAGGACAGTTGAGAAAATTACATAAGATAACGTACACACAGTAAGGAGGAAAAAAATCAGCTCTCTTGAACTCCATAAGAAAATGGAATTCTCGCCCCAAATGCGGCAACTACTTACTAACCAAGGTAACTTTTCTCCTTGAAGTCAAAATCTCAAATCATAGCAGTCCTAAAACAAAGTGTCAGCAAAGTTCCACATCAACAATGATAATGCAAGAAAAAAACATCAAGAAGTGCAAAAAGAAGGACAGACATCTGAGTATAAGTGGATATAATAATAACAAAATGTTGTCAATTCAACGTCATTAGTAAATTTGGTAATATGGAAACTCTAGATATTAAGAGAAAATTATGGCTAAACAAAAATTAATATCTCTTCTATAAAGTATTTTAAAACTTTAATTGTAGAATTTACTAAAAATATTTTTTTAAAAAACAGTTCTGTATGTGTGTTAATGCTTTTTCAGAAAAGAGATTTATTAAGCTAAATTAATTTGGTTAAAATCATCTTTCAACTTTGTTTTTAACAGTTTTTCAACTAAGGTTACTTCCGGGGTCATGAAAATATTCTATTTCCTAATTGGAATGTTTGATTACATAGGTGTATAAGTTTGTCAAAACTCACCAATTACTAACTGGTAACCTTATATTTGACTATATATGAAAAATATTATATATGTGTCTATATATACATTTATAATATATATATTTATGTGGATATATGTATTTATATTTGTATATATATACTGTGTATACATATATATATATTTGTATGTATATTCACATATATAAAAATGTTTTACATTTTTTAATGTAGTAATAAATTTTGGCCCAGATATTTTTCCTCTCCCTCAAATTAGTCTGGTCAAAATAATAAATAAAAAGAAAGTTCATTCACAGAAACCATGTACATTTAAGTTATTAAATATGAAATGTCTGACTCTCTTAAGTACTAAGTAGCTGATATCTCTGACATTTCACTTTGACACTCTTGTTTTATTTTTATTGTAAAGGTACATTTCATTCTTTCAAAAGCATGGTTTAGCTTGTGATTATCTTTCAGATTTTTAGAGCAATTTTTGGATTGTTTTGTTTTGTTTTTTATTTATTCAAGATATTATGGGGGTTCCATGGATAAGTCAAAAATTCATGCTATTTTCAATATGAGTTCCATATGGAACAAATGCTGCACCTACAAATCAAAATATCAATGAAGCTTTTGGGAAGGATGTGGCTAATGAATTCACAGTACATTGATGGTTTGAGAAGTTCTGTTCTGGTGATTTTAATCTTGAAAATGAGCCACGTGGGCAACCTGAGACCAAGGTGGATAATGATGAGCTGAAAGCTGTAATGGAAGCAAATCCATCTCAACCTACCCATGAATTAGCAGCAAGGTTTGACGTTACTATTCCAACAATATTAGACCATTTGAAACAAATCGCTAAGGTAAAGAAGATGGATAGATGGGTTCTGCATCAATTAAATGAGTGTGAGAAGACAGATTGTCTCGAAGCTTGCCTTTTTTTGCTGTCACAACACAAAGGCAAACCATTTCTACACCATATTGTTATATGTGATGAAGAATGGATTCTTTTTGACAATTTCAAGTGTTTGGCACAAGGTTGGATAAAGATGAAGTGCCAAAACATGGTTCAAAACAGAATATTCATCTAAAAAAGCTAATGGTGTCTATTTGTTGGTCCAGTGCTGGTACTATCCACGACAGCTTCGTGAAACCTACTCAATCGATTACAGTGGATGTCTGCTGCAACCAATTGGACAAAATGATGAGGACGCTTCACATTAAGCAGCCAAGATTGGTCAATAGAGCTAGGTCATCCTCTTGCAAGACAAGGCTCGACCACATGTTACACAAAACCATGCTGCTCAAACTACAGGAGCTGGTCTTGGAAACTCTCTGTCATGCACTGTATTCACCGGACTTTGCACCAACTGACTACCACTTCTTCCAGGCTTTGGACCACTTCCTGCAATGAAAAATATTCAATTCTATGGAAAATGCCTTTCGAGATTTCATTGCCACTGGCTCTCCAGGCTTCTTCACTGCTGACATAAACAAGCTACTATTAAGATGGCAAAACTGTGTGGATAGTTCAGGTGCATATTTTGATTAACTGTACTGTTTTTTTTGTTTGAGATATAGTAAACTATACTTTTGATTTGAAATTAGACATTTCATATTTAATGGCCTAAATAAAAAGAATAAGCATAATAGTCTTAACTCCCAAAACCACCAGCTAGATTAAAAGGTAAGATTGAACTTTTGTTGCTTTTTGTTGGTATTGTTTTATTTCTAATTGTTATCTGCAAGAGAAACACTTATATCCAAGACACATTAACAGTGGTTCTTACCTGTTTGGGAGTTAGGTTCAGAACCCTTTGAGTTAAGGTAGGGAAACGCATACAGGTATATATAGAAAATATACACTTCCAGATACCTTACAGGCCAGATTAAAAACCTTCAATTTACCTAATAGTCAGTGGCCTATCATCTCTGTATGTTGATAAGAGAAATATAGGATATTATCCTAGTAGCCAATAAGAGTAATTTCTTAGCACATATAATTAATAGAAATGAATATGGTTACTATATATGGACAATACAGATTAACAATGAAATTTAGCAATACTGAACAACTGTTATACTTAATGTATCTGAAACCATATAGCAAGACCATACATAAAAGAAATTTTGACCAAAATGCCAAAAGAAATTGAATGAAATTATAACTACCAGACAAATAATCAAATAAGTTATTTTCTAAAAAAAAAAAAAAAGAAGGAATAAATGCTAGAGCAGCAATAGTAAATGTAAACAATATCAGCCATATTTAAAAATTAAACATTAGCTCAAATTGGTGTGCCTTACTTTCAAGAGATTTAGAAAACTCAAATTCAAAATTTTAAGAAATTTGTAGATGGAAATTTTCAGATCTCAGAGATGCAAATAAACAAAACTGAAAAAGAACAGACTTGAAAAGACCAACAGTTGGCTGCTTGGAAACAGCCTTGTGTGACCTGCCTTAGCACCTCTGTAGCCTCACTGCCACCTGCCCAATCGAACCAAGGCACGGAAACACGGGACTCTTTCTAACGCCTCACTTTTTAAAAGTGAATGAATAGCCAAGCATGACCAGATATTGGAAGAAAAGTTTTCTTAAAAAAGAGTCCAAGACAAATACTGAAGAAAAATAATTTCGATATCAAACTATCTGAGGGTAAAATGAAGTCATTTTCAGACATACAAAGTCTTATGCAAATTCCTAGGCACCCTTTCTCTGGAAGGTACTGAGGAACGCATTCCACAACATTGATGGGGTAAACCGAGAAAGAGGAAGATTCAGCACAGCAGAGAGAGAATTCCTTGAGAAGGAATGATGATGGCATCAAAGTGAAGATCTAGTAAACAGGTAAGTCACAGGTCCAAACAGCAGCCAACCCTAATTGAAACAGGAGGACCAAAGTAACAGAATACATTCTTCCAGGGAAAGAACAACATGGAACTTGCAGATTATCTTACAGATTTTACCACATGGAAAGCTATAATGAGAGTCACTTTGAAAGAAGTTTGTAGTTTAAAAAAAATATAAAAACCAAGCAAATGAAAAAATAAAAAAATTAATTTCAAAAAAACTTGGAAACTGTATAAGAAATGCAATTATAGTATAAACTACATACTACATATATATGTACAATGTTTTGGTATATTTAAACTTTATATAGTATAAGCTAGATATCATTTATAGTATAATCTATATATGGTATAAATTATGTATACACATAAGACTAAGTCATAAATATATAGTATAAACTATATAGTACAAATAATATGCATCATATATAGTCTATATAATTATAAATACATAGTATAAACTATGTATCATATACATATACAACAAACTATATATGTATATAACTGTATAATAGTTGTTATAAATCATGGAATATGGATTCAACCACAATTATGATAGTAATATTTTGGAAGGAATGGAAGAAGGAAAGAAGCTGTAAGAGGACCAAAATAAATAATATTTAAAAATGATAAATCAAGTAATAGCAGTATTTGCATAGTATTTTGATATTAAAAGTAAATACCAGATTAAATAGCTGAAGATTTTGAAAATGGTTACCTGAGGGAGACAGGGGCATCCAGAAGGACAGGAGGCAATGTAGGGTGGAGGAATTAAGAGAATATTATTTTTTTCTATAAGCCTCTTAGCATTATCATTTAATAACTAGTGTATTCATTCCTTTGACTAAAAAGGAAAATATTAATTTTTTTACAAAAGGAAAGAAAGAGGGGAGGGAGGAAGGAATGAAGTTATTTCCTTTAAGTAGATTTATGCACATGCTGTAATACTGTAAAAATATTTATACAATCATAGTTCTAGGGACTGCAACTCTAGAAGAAAGCAACTGGCCCCCAACCCCCAGCTTTTCAGTTTATAAAACACTCATCCTTAAAGTTGAGGTATTCAAGTTCAAGTTCAATCCAAGTGACTATATTAAGGCCAAAAACACAGGTCGATGGTTAGTAAGAAGGAACCCTGGCCTGCCAAGCTTTGAATACAATTACTTCTCACACCCTCTCCTATGTGTTTTATATGGGTCACATTCTCCCAAAAGGATCAAGGACCTAGGACACATCTAACTGCTTTGGCAATCCTCAGAGTGCTTTATATATAGTAGATAATTCAAAAATTTAATTACAGGTGCAGGAGGATTCAGACAAAGCTATTTAATTAACAGGCATAGGAAGATAGCAATTAATACCTTATTCATAGGGATACAAGAAGAAAATATATCATTCAGAAAATAACACCACTGTAAGCATTCTCAAGGATAAGTATGCATGTTCACTAACGAGTAATCCCAGGAGCAAAACAAACCCTCTATTACATAACTCTTATTTTACCTTTCTTAATCTTTGGGTAATTAACATGGGAAAAAAAAGTTGTTTTCTGGGCCATTCCACAGACAAATAGTTTCCCAGCAGAAAGAGACAAGCAAATAAGCCTGAGCATGTGATGGACTTGGAAAGCAATGAATCTTAACAAATTTGCAGTTGAATTATTGAACTGTTAAGACGGCGCAGCTAAACAGAAAAGATCTGGGTGAGTAAATAGGGTTTTGTTACCTTTGTTTCTTTGCAAATTTTGTTTGTTGCTGCTGCTTGTTGCCATGAGCACCCAAAGTTATGACACTGCCATTTACACTGGATATTTTTATTTGGAAAATAAAGTTTCACTTACATAGTTGAGGTTCATCAACCACATGAACTGAGAGTGCAAGGTTTACCCACACACCATAGATGTATTTGGTAAACCACTGATCTTGTTTATTTTTAGATAAACTACGAAAGGGTTCTTCTTCAGTTTAGAGAGTCTTTTCACTGATTTATTCAACAAATATTTTTAGAGTATCTACTATGTGCTACATGCTACAGTGCACTATGGGCTCTAGGCCTGGTAGCTGAGTGCTAGAAATAGGTGCAGAGCAAAAGAGAGCATTTACCATCTAGTAGGTTAGTTGGACAATTAAGCAATTAAACAGGCAATTATAACAAGATGAGTTAAGTGCTTATTGCATATATAGCAGAAACACCTGGCATATCCTGGGGCTTGGGGTGGGGAGGGCTTAGTCAGGGAAGCTTCCCAAGGGCAGTGATATTGAGTGGCACTTGAGGGATGACTTGGAGTTATCTGTGCCAAGGAGGATGAAGAAGATGCAATGAGGCTGAGGAAGGCCAGAGGCCAAAGAGGGCTGTAACCAGGACACTGCGATAATGGACTGGGGAGACCATGGTGGCCTGGACTTGGGGGATTACAGCAGTGTTAGAGAAAAAGAGATTTGAGAGCCATTGAGGAGGCAGAATTGACAGCATTTCATGACTTATTGGATGTGAGAGATGAGGGAAAAGAAGGAAGGAGAGACAGCTGCAGGTTTCTGGCTTCAAAAACTGGGAGTGTGGTAGGTACCACTCACTGAGCTCGGGCACACAGGAGGGGCAAGTTGAGAAAGAGATGAGGAGTTCAGCTCTGAGTATGCTGAGTTTGAGGAACACAGCGGGCACTCGGTTGAAGGTTTCTACTAGGCAGTTGGACTATAGGGTCTGGGCTGCAGATACACATTTGGAAGATAATGATCCCAGAGCAGATAGTTTTGATAGCCACAGTTTTTATTAGATCATGCAGAGAAAGTCTATAGAGTGGGAAAAGCAGGGGCTAAAGGGCAGAACTCTGGGGCCAAGTGACCTTGAGGGAACAAGCCCAGGAAGGAGCTCAAGAAAGAAGCCTGAGAAAGAATAGAAAGGATAGAATGTTGTAGGGGGGAAAAACACATTCTCCACCCTCTTAGGTTCAGGGGCTGGAGTCCTATAAATTAAACTAACAGAGTAACAGGAGAAAAGGCATACAAATTTGATTTGATGTGTAGTTTTTATGTGAGTCAGGGGTCTGCCTACAAAAGAAGTAAAGACAAAAGAAGTAAATAGGCCTGACAATTTATAGATTGTGAAGATGAGCAAGACAAAGGGAAAAAGGTTTTAGGCTTCTAAGGGCTGCAAACTGTGGGTAAATATAGAGAGAAAACAAATGGAAAGTAAGGGCTATCTTAGCAAGGTTTGTTTGTGCCGGTCCATCTTGGTGCCGATTATCCATCTTCTTCATGGCCATAAAACCTACCCAGGAGAAGGGGTTTATGGCACACCTCATTTTACAAAAGTGTCTGCTTATAATCAGATACGGGGAGCTCTAGAAAGACTTCTTTCTGCATCTGTCGATTCCCAATTTTCTGCAGCTCAACACGATCCCTATGCTGCAGTGGCATATTTTGGAGTGGCATAGTCTGTTCCCCTTGAGTGGTAAAGAATCACACACCAGAGGGAAGTCAATTCAATTCAACAAATATTCATTGAGCACCTACTATGTGCCAGGCACGTGCTACTGGGTAGTGAGGACAGAGTGGTGGAAAACACAAAACACAAATCTAATCGTTACCATCAAAAAAAGAGAAAATGGCCACAGAATTTGGAGCTATAGAGAACTGTGTGGCTGTTGCAGTAGCAGTCTCAGCAGAAAAGAAGGCGAGAGGTCGGGCAGTGCTGGACTGAGGTGAGACTGGGAGGTGAGGAGGTGCAAGTGGGAAATGGAGATAACTCTTTCAAGAAGGATGACCATGAAGGGAGGCAAAAATACAGAACAGTCACGAGAGGAGATAAGGAGCTGAGGATGAGGGATTATTTTGCTGGTTTCATTAATTTTATATTATATGAGAATCTTGAACATGCTTATATGAAAAAAGAATGTGCCATAGAGAAAAAGAGGTTAATAGAACAGAAAAAAAGGCAGGAGGCAGAAGGGTGAGTAGTTGATGAAGATGATGTCTGAGGGGGAAACATGGGACGTGGGGTAAGGAAGTATGTAGCTCACCTTGCGAGCCTGCTGTGTTCTGTCCCAGCCCCACCCAGCTCTGGAGGGAGCAGCCAGCTATGTAAAGATTATCCCACTTCACTCCTAGAATCACCTAGAAGAGCCTCAAATCCCTAAACAAGTGGAATTTGGAAGTAGTTGATAGCACTCTTATACCTGAGAGCCAGAGACTCAGGCATTTCACAAGACTGTCCATAGCAGCCCTTATTCCCCACCCCCAGCAGGCCCTGAACTACAGGGTGACCAAGCTGCCTCTGCCCGCTTCCACCCAGCCTCTGCTTGGGCTGGAGAGGTTCCTCTGCTTTTCACATCCCCAGGATACTAGTAGAAAGAATGGGGGGGGGCAAGGAGATGGGGCATTACGGAGAGAATCCCGCCTTATGTCCCACGTACCTGATTACGTACCCACATATCACACATACACACTCCTGCAAACCTAAGCCTCGGGCCCAGATCCTACCCTATTCCTCACTGATATTGAAATAGGTTTCCTAGCATGATGCTGCTTTACTCAGTCACTTTATCCTCGCTGTTATGCAATATTAAATCACTCCTGGCCAGTCTCCCCAGAAGTGCTCCCCTTGGGGTGCCAATGCTAGCTTGCAACCAGACCAAATTTACCTCTCTTCTGCTTGACCTTCACCTACCTTCCTCTAACTGCCCCATGCCCAGCTCATGCCCTCCTGGGTTCACCGCATGCATGCCTTGAGGTCAGCGCTGTCAGCACCCTCAATGGGATACCAGGGCTAATAAGGAACTTTGCATGGCCTTGACTCTGGTGACCTGGACTTGGGGGATGGCAGTGGTTTAAACAAAATAGATTCACACTCTGGGAGGCCAAGGCAGGAGGATCGCTTGAGCTCAGAAATTTGAGAGCAGCCTGAGTAAGAATAAGAGCAAGACCCCATCTCTACCAAAAATAGAAAAATTAGCCAGGTATTGTGGTGTGCACCTACAGTCCCAGCTACTCGGGAGGCTGAGGCAGGAAGACTGCTTCAGCCCACGAGTTTGAGGTTGCGATGAGCTCTACCTGGGACTGCCACTGCACTCTACCTGGGACGACAAAGCAAGACTTTGTCTCAAAAAACAAACAGATTTAAGTGAAATCACCTCCATTTGCTAGCCTAACACTTGGATTATTAATAATATTACAGGCTGTCCAAGTTGATTTTGAGGGATTTGACGGATATGAAGGAAAAAACACTGAATCAACCACAGTTCAGGTTCCCACTTGCCATTTATTAATTCTGTGGGTTTTGGCATATTGCTCAACATCTCTGAGACGTATTTTTCTTATCTGCAGAATGGGGATGAATATAGCTATGTTCTAAACATTTTATGGATGACCTCATGTAATCCTCACAACAAGCTGATAAGGCAGGTTCTATTAACAGTTACTACTTGATGATCCAGGTTTAAACCAGAGAGCCTTATTCCAGAGCCTGCTCCAATTAACCACTGTGCTCTATTGAGCTAATAATACCTTCCCTCCCACTTTCAGGGCCATGGAAGTAATGGGCACCTGAAGTAATGTGTAAGTAAACACTTGGAAGATTATTGCTAAATGGTACAAAGTTGCAATTTTGCAAGATGAAAAAGTTCTGGAGATGGACAGTGGTGATGGTTGTACAACAATATGAATGTACTTACTACTGAACTGTGTGCTTAAAAATGGTTAAAATGGTAACTTTTACATTGTGTCTATTGTACCACAATTAAATTTTTCAATTAAAAAAATACTTGATAATTAGTGCCAAACACATGCAAACCATTAATGGTGTTTTTAATTCTATTTAATTTATAAAGCAGCAATTTCCCTAAAAGAAGATTTTATGTGACTCACTTTTAATACTCTGAGTGTCTAGAAGAGATGATGGAAAGAGAAACCTAGTGTAAAATGACATGTCTGTACATCAGCAGCCTCAATGGCAGAATAGAAATGAAGAGGGGAAAGGAGTCTAGGTTGGTTTTACATGACAATCTGAAGATTCCAAGCCTGACTGCAAATATATTCCCTGGCCACCTTCTGCATTGCCCAACTGATGTCTTCCAAAGGGAAAGATCAACACTGTGGCTCAGGAGACCAGATCGGTATAAGCCCGGTTGCTAATCTGCTCATTTGTGTCTATTTCTTTTCAGCCTGAAGCTACCACCAATGATTCCCAGCATCGTGGGGCTCATTCCCCACAACATGAACATTTCCTACCTCACTTCTACTGCCATGGGCCTTTAAATCATTTATTATAGTTATATCATTAAATTCTCTATGACAACTTCCTTTCTTCTAAAAATAATTTTTAATAAAAAGTACATATTCATTGCAGTAATTTTAGAATATACAAAAATCAAATTCTCTTGGCTAAATATCAGATGTTGGCCCAATAACTCCAAAAAAACTGTTTTCTAATTCTCTCAGGAATAAACAAATGAAGTACAATCCTATTTTGAGGGTGAATTAGGTTGTAAAATTTTCCTTAAAGGTTTATTACCTGACAGTCTGGTTGCATTCCCCCCTTAAAACAATGTCATGAAGGGCTATTAGGTTTCCAGATCAGCTCACAAAATCCTCCTTAATGTCTAATGGAGCCGAACTATAGTGTGATAGAGTTATACCACCAACCTTCTAGGAGGCAGGGACTTTGCCATTTCTGAACCTCCAGCCCTGGCACATAT